CTGAGAGACATCAGATGACCCTCTGGGTAGGAGAAAGTGGAAATGCAGGGACAGGGAATGAGACTGTGATTTCATTGGTAAAGGGAAATCCCAGGTGAGGAAACTTTCTCTCCAAATTCAGGTCAGCACCTTCTCTGCCATTTATAGTCTCAGAGAGTTACTTAGATCACTGGGGCCAAACTCAAATACAAACAGGACCACTAAACCTACATAAATACCCCTGTAGGCCACATATTGACTTAGAAAACTACAGATTAACACCATGTATGTTCTATTGTATTTTTATTTAGTTTGTTAAATATTTCTCAATTGCATTTTAATCTGAATGCAGCAGCAACAGTGGGGGCTAAGTGTTTTACGCTTCTGGATGAGAGTACCTAGAGGTTAAGGGACTTGCCCATGGTCACCCAACTGGTATATGTCAGAGATGGGACTGGAACCTAGGTCTGAAAGGAAAACATAAGTCTGATCACTTCAGTGACTAATTATGATTTTAGACAACTGACAGTAAAATATGCTTCCCTCTCTTGGCAAAGTGGTTGTACATGAGGCACTCTTTGTCAGAAATATCCAATATGTTAATTTGTTTTATTTACCCATTTAACCTTGTTGCAAGGGAGAGTTTTTTTAGGAGAGGGGTGAATCATTGGGAAATGACAGTAATGTATAAAAGGGACATCAATAAAATGCTTATTTTAAAAAGACACAGAGAGGTAACATGGCCTAATGGAAAGAGGAGAGCCTTGGAGTCAAGAAGAGCTGAGTTCAGGTCCTTCACCTCTGACACAGTGCCTGGCACAGTATTTGAATGTTTAATAAATGCTTGGTGACTGATAAACACATACTGGCCTGTGACCGTGTTCAAGGTGATGTCCCAGGCAACTCTCTAAGACAGAAAAGTTGCCAATCTGAAATTCCCTACACAGATGAAATCATATGGCTTCAGAGGGGGGAAAATATTTTGAGATACCAATTTCACATTTAATAATCAAAAGAAGTAAAATACTGTAGCATTAAAAATGTCATACTGAGCTCCTAGCCACATGGTAGAATGCCAGAATTCTGTTAAGTATGGTTTTGGAAATAGCGTTTTAGAGAGATTCCTGGGGGACCGGAGAATTGGGGGGTCTTTACTAACCTTGGGCCCCCCACTCAGTTAGGAGAAACCTTACAAGGACATTGGCTCTGGAGCCTGATTAGATGAACTATAAGGTTCCATCCAACTCTTAATTCTATGACTCTACTTCCCTCAGTGTGAAGTGGTCTCAGTTTAGTGTGTCCCTCTCCTTTGACCCTGATGATGAGCAGAGAAACTGCCTATAGCACTTCTGGTGGAAGCGAGCCATTTTATGATTAGAAGGAAGCAACTCTGGGCGTCTAACCTTAGCTGGCTGGAACGAGCCAATAGTGACCCTAGAGCAGGGCAGGCAAGGCAGCAGAGGCAGAAGAGGGGAAGTGATATCCATAAAACCAGAGCTAGAAACAACCTCAGAGGACATCTAGTAGAACCTTATCATTTTACAGATGAGGAAACTGAGGCCCAGGGAAGTTAAGTGACCTGCCCAAGGTCACATGAGCAATAATCATCAAAGACAGGATTTGAACCCAGGTCCTCTGACTCCAGAATTCTTTCCATTAAAAATTACTGACTTTTTGCTAACTCCTTCCCTTAGAGAGGAATAAGTGAATTAGACTGGCAGATACTATCTCAGCATTTTCCTGAGGGGAAAATATCTTCCCATAAACCATGGGCTATCCCAAGGCCCGGCATGAATCCTTATGATTTTCTCACTCAGGTATCATATGTCTCCCTTTGTGTTTGCCCAAATCCTACAGTGAGCTGGAAGGTTGTCTGACCTCCAAAGGAGCCTTGGGAATCAAATGCCTATAATTATTCCCTTCCCCTTTTGGTACAACTCTGACAAAAAGGAAGGAAGAAAACAAGCATTTATTAAGTGCCCGCTATGTGCCTGGCACTGTGGTAAGCACTTTAAAAATACTATCTCTCTTGATCTTCACAATAACCCTGGGAAACAGGTACTATTTCCATTTTACAGATGAGGAAACAGTGTGAGAGAGGCTATGTAACTTGACCAAGGCCCTAATAACTAGTAAGTGTTGGAGGTCAAACTTGAACTCAGATCCTCTAAGCTTCAAAATGAATGGACACAAGGCTATGAGCATGGGCACTGAACTGGGGATTTTCTTTCCTTATGCTTACAAGAGAGCCACGATGTCAAAAATCCCTTCAATAGCTTTTATCTGATGGGGTCAGGGTACTGATCTCTAATAATGGATATAAGGCTGAACATCAGAGGATGTTAGCTAGGATTTTGAGTTGGAATAGACTTTAGAGGTAACTTAATCTAACCCCTTTGTTTTACAGATAAGGAAATGGAGGCCCAGATGTGAATGAGCTGCCCAAGGTCTCACAGAGGAGACAGCCAAAATTCTGATACGGGGCTCCTATTTCTAAGCCAGCACTTTTCTCATTACAGCTCCATGTTAAACTGTGCCATGCAAAGTAGGAAGGGGCTGTGTCCCAGGGAAGCCCATAATCCAACTCCTCCCTCTGGACTGCAGAATGTCTGTCCAAGCAGCCTCCAGTCCTCTATACTCCTCTATAGCTGCTCTTAGACCACACTCCAGTGCAAGCAGGTACCTCATGGATTTCTCAGGGGATGTATGTTATTGGGGTCATAGGGAGAATCTGCCCTCATTTTTTCTACTCAGTTGCAAGGTACACAATGGTTCTGTATCTCTTCTGTTTCTTCATCTGTCTTTTTCTCCCAAGGTTCTCTGTCTCTCAAGCTCTGGTTTCCTAGGTTTTTGTCCTCCCCCTTTCTCTGTGCCTCTGGCCTCCATATATGATTACTCTCCAGCAGCCACACTCCTCTCCAATTGACAACAGAGTCCTTTGAGAGTGGGGACCATCTGAGCACCTCATGTCCTTCCCATCCCTAGGACAGCCTAGGAGCACACAGCCGAGGAGAGTATTAGCTAGTTATTTCTGTCTGGACTCAGTGAGGGGGCAGCCCAGCTCTACGACACAGGATGGGTTGAAATAATTTGGAAAAGTCCACCCAGCTGACTGACTGACTCCTCATCCTAGGCCCCATCTGCCCCCTGCAAGGAACCTGCAATAGGGACAAAATAAATCAAAACCTAAATGTCCTAGCGGATGGGGGTGGGCTGGGAAATTCACTCCTAATTGCCCTCTCTGGCATAGGATCAGATATGGAGAAGAGGTTTTCTTTTCTCCATTTTTGTTTATTTGGTTTTTTTTACTCCTTGCCCTAAGGAGAATAATGGTCTAGGAGAGAGTCCAGGCTGCCCTGGGGGCTGGGCACTGCAGCAGTCAGCTCCGCAGAGCTGATTTCTCTCTCTCTCTCTCTCTCTCTCTCTCTCTCTCTCTCTCTCTCTCTCTCTCTCTCTCTCTCTCTCTCTCTCTCTCTCTCTCTCTCTCTCTCTCTTTTCCCCTCCCCTCCTCCTGCCCCATCCCCACAGGACAAGTAACTCACTGCCACCCCAGCTACCTCCCTACTCTGTCTCTCTCTGACCTGTTTCAGTTTCTCCCTTTCTTTTGCCCCTTCTCTGATTCTTATCTCCTCTATCCTTTTCCCATTCACTCTCAGTTTTCCACCTTGTCTTTCTCTGAGTTTTTCTCACTCACCCATGCTCTGTCACTTCTTTGCCATCCCACTCCTTCCTTCCCGTTCTCTCCCCTTCTTTCTCTTTCCCCTTCTCTGCCTCCCTACCCCCTCGATTTCTCCCTGTCCACTCCTAGCTGTACCAGTCTCTGCAATACTAGCAACTCACTTACAAGGTCAGAACTCCCCTGGGAGAGTCAGAGATTTGACTGGCTTCAGCTTCCTATTTCCACTTGGTGGGAGAGACAAGGGAGCAGAACAGGCTACTGCCATCAGCTGCCACCCCAGAGACAAAGACAGGTTAAGGGGCACTGTGCCAGCTCTAGCCTGCTGGGCCTAACGCCCCTTTGCCCTAAGCCCCTCCTCTCCTCTCCTCAAAAGGAAACCAGGACTGAACCTGGTGCCACCAAGTCCCCTGACCAGCAAATATCTTTCTTAACTCCTGAAAATAGGTCTAGTTCATTCATAAGATTAAGAGTCTATCGAAGTCCAACTCTTTCTATATGCCTATAGGTCAGAGAAGGAGTACTCTCCCATCCCTCAGAATGAAAGTGTAAATATATGGTTAACTCAATGGAACTAATGAAAAGAAATGCCTGTCGGATCCTAACAGGGACCTAACATCCCTAGTTTGGGGATTGATGCGGGTCGGGGAGCCCCCCCCCCGAAGACAGCTCCAAATTCACCAGAAGGGGGACAGTTAATATGCCCAGGAAAGCCTTCCTCTTCCTCCCCCTTCTAACACACACCTCCATCTCCCCATCCGTCAGCTGAGTTAATGTCCTGAGCCCAATCCCTGGGACCTGGGACCTTGAGGCGACGGATAAGACCTGGGGGTGACCGCCAGAGCAAGAACAGGGTCGGGGCAGGAGAGAGCGAAAGAAAGCAGGCAGGACGCGGGCGGATTCCTGGAAGGAGTCTTTAATAAGGATTTGGTAGTATACAAGCTCTCGGGATTGTCTGGATTAACATACAGGGACTTAAAAAAGGCACAAAATCCTTTGCACAGCGGCTGGGGGCCCTTAGGGCGCTTCCTCCCTCTCCCTTTCTGCCCCCCCGCGCGCGTGTGCGTGTCGGTGCGTGTCCGTGTCCGACCCCCACCCCCATGACCTTGCGCGTGTGCGTTTGTGTAGTTGGTGTGTCGTCTTCAAGTGTTGGATTTGTACAGTACTCGCAGTCCTAGGCAGCCCAGCGAGGCGAGCGGAGGGGAAGGCAAGGGGAAAGGAGGCAGGGAGCGCGCTCAGTGCATGCTTTTATTATACAGAGGCCAGAGCCCGGAGCCGCTCTCTATACCGCTATGTACACCAGGGAAGGGCAGAACTCCAAAGAAGGAAGGAAAGAAAGAAAGAAAGAAAAAGAAAGAAACAGAAAGAAAGGAAGAAAGAAAAGAAGCTTCCAATTGTTTCTTTTCTTGTTTCTTGCATGCTTAGTCTGCCCTGGGGGAATAGTGCAAGCGTATAATACAGTATTATTGCATTAAAAAAGGGGGCTGGGGGAGGGGGCTGGGGTGATGATGGGAAGAGGCTCAGGGATAAACCAGCTGTGGCTCAGGACCTCTTGGGAGATTCATGTCTCCTGTGCCCCCCACCCCCAGTCCACCTCCTGGCCGAGAAGGAGCCTCCTGGCCAGCAGGTGTCTGCTGAGTAAGGGTGGGGGGAGGGAGAGGAAGAAGGGTGCTTATGGCCTCAGAGAAAACTGGGCTGAGCCCCCGAAGCTGAGCTGCCCAAACAACACCCTCTCCCAAATGATAGATGGGAATGAGGATGAGGATGAAGGGACGTGGGGCAGCCCCTCTTCTTGCTCAATACTGTCAGATCGAAGGAGCCCCAAGCCCTGTCTCTCTCCCTCCTCCTCCAACCCCTCAAAATGGGGAGGGAGGGAGGGGGTCAGTGGTGGAGCAAGTGCAAAGGAAGCAGATGTTGGTCCCTGAGTTTATTTTATGGGGAGGAGTGGAAGGTTAGGGGAACCCCCCAGTGGCCTCCATGGGGAGGGGGAATAGGAGACAAGATGGGGATTCTGGAACAGTGGGCATGGCCAGTGGGGGCCAGGACTGCTCGGAGAGACCCGGGCTCTGAGCTTTGTTCTCCCTCACTCTAGGCTCTTTGGCATCCAATTGCAAGGCCAATTTTTTTTTTTGGCAGGGTTGGGGGTGCGGAAAGAGGTAAGGGAAGGGGTGACCCAGCTCTTCTGGATGGTAAGGTAAGAAAGGATTGGGGGAGGATGGAAGATGAGGGAGAGAAACCCACTGAGCCAGGAAAACACCCCCTCCCTTTCCAAAAACTCTTTCCCCAGGCTCAACTCCCTCTCTCCCCACCCTGGAAGCACGTAAGTAAAGGAGGGGGGGCACTTCTTCCTCAACCCTCCAGGCCCCACTCAGGGGAAAGAGGCAGGAGAGCTGGAGGCCAAAAGAAACAAGTTGGCCTGGGGGTGGGGGAGGAAGGAGGAGAGTAAGAACAAAGACAAGGACCGGGCAAAAAAAGAGAGAGAGAGAAACCAACATATATACAAATAGCAGCAGACAATTGGGGAGGAGCAGAAGCCAGGTCCCCAACTCCTCTGGGAGGAGCCAATGAGAAAGAACCCCCACTGCCAGCTTCGGGGCTGAGGTCACCCCAAGGCAGAAGCTCTGGAAATCTGTGTGAGGGAAATAGGATGCTAGGCCTAGGGCAGGAGAGAGCTGAGGGAGCCATGTCCGAGGTAGGGGAGGCAAGCTGCAGCCCTGCTTCACAGGCATGCGGACCGGTGCAGGGAGAAAGCCTCCCCTTCCCCTACCCCATCCCAATCCCCTGGCCCTGGCTCCACGCTCTCCTCCCACGCCAGCGTCCCTAGCCCAGGTCACGCGGCTTGGTTTAGCAGCTTGTTAAAAAGACACAAGATACATTCGTGATGCTATCGATCGCCGCGGCGGGGGTGGGGGGGCAGAGTACAAAATTACTACAGTGAATGAACTTTTGGGAAAACAGCCCAGAAACGCCACCGCCTCTGCGCTGTCTGGGCTGAAGAGGGCGGAGAAAATCTCTAGCTTGGCGTCGGGGGCAGGGGGTTGACATGCCAGGAAATGGGGCGGGGGAGAGGGCGGAGCTTTGTGGCCCAAGCAGAATTACAGGTCGCTCAGAAAATAAAACTCGAGTGGGGGCTTTCGGAAAAGAGCAAAGCCGACTTCCCCACTCCCACCCTCACTACCTCCTGTCCAGTCGTGCCTAAGCATCTGCAGGCCCCAATGGAAAGAGTGAAGTTTGGGGAACCGTCTTGGATACGAGCATCGGAGCTGAACCTCCTTGGAGCCCCCACGCACACACACAGCTGACGGTGCCAGGCAAGGGTATGGGACGCGAAGTTTCCCCCCAACAGAAGGGCACCTGAAGTCCCCAAACCCACTCTACAATCTCCAAACCTCATCCCTCCTCTATAATAGCCCTTTATTCTTCTGGACTACCAGAAGTCAGCAAAACTAAAGGACTCTATGCCTTGGAATGACCTTTGGCTACCCTGAACCCCACAGTGTGGCTACGTTCCTGGCACTGTGATGGGTACCAACCCTCCTCCTTTCTGCATTCCCCTCCCCAAAGCTCAGGTTGGTTGAAAGCCTAAAGGACACTGGATCTTCTGTCTTAAGGTGGCCTGGGTATTAGGGGGACAGTGAGCCTGTCAAACCCATCCAGGAAGGTCAAGTTAAACCATCCCACTGCCCAGCTCCAGGGCTGCAGAAGCTGGTGAGGTGGGATGACAGGCTGGGAGAGGAATAAAAAAAAGGAGGAAATGGAGACTGTCACACTTAACTGAACCTGCCCCATGGCTTGGGTGCAAAGGTAGATAGCAAAGGTCTGGTACTTAATTAACTAGTGTGGGTTCCCTGTTAGAACTGTGGAGAAAAGTCCTGGGAGGATGTGAAGGGGGACAGACCCACTGGGGTGAGGGGTTAGTAAAAAAAAAAGTGATGAAATATTAGCCATTACTTTGAGGGAAACAAAGCCCCCTGACCTGTTCTTCTCTGGCTTAGCAATCAGGGCTTTTGCAGAAGAAATTTGTTCTTTCCCTTTAATGAAAACTGATTCTGCACACTCCTTGGACCTGTGTGACCACTCTACAATGCCAGCATTTCTAGCACACTGAGGCCTCTCACCAGCAAAAGGGTCACTGGCCCAGGTCCTGTCTTTTAGGTTGGACTGAATCCTGTCAAAGGTGGAAAGAAAACAGGACTTTTCTCCAGGGTCTCCCCCCTACATCCCTCCCCCACTCATCCAGTCAAGAACCATACAGGGGACACAACATGAGAAGGAAACAACCCTGGAAGCTGGGTAGGATACTGGCAAACGGCAGAGAGATGAACTTCCCACCTCTCATTCAGATCAGCATTAACCCCACCATTAACCACCACCAAAGTCATTTCCTTTGATCATCTCCAAAGTCAATACAATTGATAGACCTCACTATGGCTACCCAGCATCTAAGGATCCATACATCAGACTGGATACCAGGTACTAGCCCTGGTTTTGGCCTAGAATGGGGGTAGGAAGTAGCAGGAGAGAGGTTTCAGACCCCTAGATCCCTCCATGGCCTGCCTGGCAGGCAATGGGTGAGGTCACCACACATTTTCCCAGGCCCAAATTGAAGTGATTGGTATAGGTAGGCCCAGTGACCCAGCCTGGGGTAGGACAGGCAAAGTAAGGAATGGAGGGAGATCAGGAGCCCTTATGCAGTTGCATGTAGAAATCCCCTTAAGAGGGTATATATAAAAGGGTAATAATTCACTAGGAATAGTCCAGGAGTTCCAACTTCCACTCACTCATTAGATCATTGGTTAAGTCACCTTTGTTCATGTCTTCCGCTCATTTGGATTGGATGAGTGGACCTGGTACTTGAAGGTGTTTGAAGGCCAGGGAAGGTTGGAGATGTGATTATAAGGGATAGCAACCATCCTGCCCATCTAACTCCTGCCCTGGGACCAAGAGCTGTTAAGACCTTTCTAAAGTATCAGGAAGACCACATAGTATCTGTTAAAACTCACATGGAGTCACAGAACACACTCACATAAACCTCAAGCATGCACCTGCTCACACACATACATGTCTTCATACATAAACAGACATTTGGCATTAGTAGCTTCGGATGGTAGAAAGAGCCTTAGATTTGGAGTGTGAAGACCTACATTCAAATCTTAGTTCTGTCACTGACTATTTGTGTGACTTGGCAAGTCACTTAACCCCCTCTATAGAGATTTTCTTCTCTATATCAAATAAGAGAGTTGAATTAGATGACATCGAAAATCTTCCTTCCACCTCTAAGATCCTATGATCCACACGCTTTGTGTGGCCAAAAAGCTTGTGCTTCTCTTTAGAAGCCTGCCTGGTTTGAGTGTGTCAGGGAGAAGACAACTCCTTTGAGGAAGCCTGAAGGCTGGGCCCCTCCACTCTCCAAAAAGCCTGAGGCCCACACATTTAAGAAAATACAGAATCATGGGGTCATTGGATTTGTCGGGAGCTCAAAGGGCCACCTAATTTAACTCTCATTTTCAGAGGAGAGAAGTCTAGAGAGGGAAAGTCCCGAGGTCACAAGGAGAGTTGGTGGCCCAGCCAGGTGTCTTTTCCAGGACACCAAACTGCTCCCTCACAGAAAGACAGCTCATCCAGAGGCCAAAGAAACATCAACCTAGTGCCTTGGCCACTTAGCCAAGGAACTCAAATTCAGAATTCAGTGGGATCTAGGTGTTTTATTAAATGCCAAATCAGTTATCCTGCCCTGGAAGCTATCTCCAAATACAAAAGTCTTTCACTTTGACCAGACTCCCACTAGGGTACAACTGCATTCTGACCTCTGGCCTCTGCCTCTCCGTCCTGCATCTTTCAGTCACTGTGGGAAGTGAGGGACCAAGACAAGGGGGTAAAAGTGGAAGATTGTCCCCAGGGCAATAGGAGATGCATACATGCAGATAATGTGGCTGAAACCTCTATTTATCCTCTTTCAATGATGAATCAACAGTGAATGTCCTCACCTCCTGATGGGGGAGGGAGAAAGGGGAGAGGCTGCTGGTCAGTTTTGGGAAGGAAGACATATCGCACACTATTCCATCCCTTGGGGAGACAGAAGAAGGGAAAAAGGGAAGAAAAAAGTTCTCTTTTCTATATAACCCTAGGCCCCCTACGTATAAATAATCCAGTAATGATCAACAAATGCTTAATTAATAAATGAAAGACTAAATAAATAAACCAATAAATTAGGTAAGTCCCCAGTTATTTAGCATCCTCAGGAAATGAGATGCTCTGGTAAATGCAACAAGTGCCCGTAAAAAGATGGAAACCTGCTTTTTTCAAGCAAGCACACTGGAATTCATCCAAGCAAAGGCTGGGCTCATTCCATGTAGGGAATTGCCTTCAGAGAACTGCTTAAAAATCACACAATCTTCTGCTCCTTACTGGGTAGTCACACCCCACTTTTGGTCACACAGGCCAGCCATTCCCCAGCCTGACTGCCTACTTCACTCTGCAGAATTGGCTCAGAATGATTTTTGACTATTTACAGAAAAATAAATCCATCTTCAAAGAAGTCAAGGGATATCACCCTGGAAGGGCCCCAGGCTCCAAAAGCAATCCCTAAAGAGGAATTCCAATGTGTTTTGACCAATGGACTACTCTGAAAGTTTGGGCACTGGATTACACTATGTGAGTTCTTGACTGACTGTTCAAAAAAAAAAAAGGCTTCCCTACCTTACCATAAGGTATTGTTGGAATAAGGTTGCAGCTTCCCAAAGGGAATACAGTAAGATGCTAAAACTATTCTGAATGAAATTTAATCTTTGATGATTTAGAAACTATTCATGATTTTTGTGGAGATAACATCATTGATCACTGAACTACAACTATATGAAAGGACAGGTTAATGGAGAATTCTAGTTAATAGAATGTCCTCTAACAATGCTGACTTCTTTCACACTGACAGTAACCAAAGTGACCTAATTCCAATTAGCCCAGGCCTTTGGAATCCTCAGTCAAAGCAATCTTAAGGGAGAATTCTGGGGGAATGGAGGGAAGGGCAGGTACTTTTATTACAGGTCTCACAGACAAGTGGAGGAGCCTTCAAGGTGGTTAGAGACAAGGGGCTAAGAGGAATGGAAGAAGGTTAGGGGACTGAAAGGGAGGGTTCATGGAATTAAGGTATATTCAATATTCTCTTGAACAGAGAGCAAAGAGTGAGATAGAAGGCGGGAGGTAAGCAAAATTTTAAAATAGGTGTAGGTGATGGAAAGTACTTTGAGAGTCTACTGGGAATTTAGCGCAGGGGTTTGCCAGAATTGAGAGAAGGAGTGGATCGTTGAGATGAAGGACAGAGTGGGTTAAGGGCTATAGAATATCCCTATCCTCCACTTTTATCCTAGGGAGGGATGGCTTTTTGGATTTGATAATCTACCTGCCTCTGTTTTGTGCTTTTGTTTCCTGGAGGCTCTTTGCCTGCCACATCCTGGGAAGGGAACACAGAAGAAATTATCCATTACCTTCCACAGAAAGCATTTGGAAGTTTTGAGGGCAGCAGAGTCAGGGCCTGGGAGTGGAGTTACAGATCTGGTAGGGGGCAGAGAACCCAAGACCTAAAACTGCTTGAGGGAACGGGACTGCCAGTGGAGAATGCTTTTTTTTTTAGAAGCTCCTTTGCTGGAATAAAGTTTAGTGGGAAGTGGAGAGAATGCAGAGAAATGGATATATGATGTCTAAAATCCTTTCCAGCACCAATACACTAATTCTAAGATTCTAGACAAAGAAACTCAAAGAAACCAAATCTGAGACCCCTGGCTCTCTCCTGGGTTTGGAAAGGGACTTCTGAAGAGGATGGAAGGGCAAGAGAAAAATCTCTACTTCACACAACCCCAGGCTTGTCCACTGAACTGGAAGAGAATGAAAGTCAATTCACTGAAATGGAACCATTACAGGATTATTACTTTAGAGCTGGAAAAGACTTTAGAGGTCATTGAACCTAACCTCCCAATTTGTCAGATGAGGTAACTGAGTGCAAGGGAAATTAAGGGAAATCAGGATCAGTCACCAAAAAATACAAATGGAGAGTGACCTGGTCCTAAAGGCTCCCCACCACCAAGGGACCAATGACCCTATATCAGGCTCTGTACCAGGGAAAAGTTCTCTGTTCCTTGGAGTCCTAGAAAATAGAATATCAAAACTTTGAAAGACTTCAGTCTTTTTCTTCCAGCCCCCTCATTTTTTTTTTCATTTACAGATTCCCCTTGGGACCACCATTCCCAGCTAGAAACCGATGGTAAGGTGAGGAGGCAGGAGATGAGCCAATAAGGGAGGGGGAGGGGATAGGGTTGAGGAATTGATAGTATGGAGGTAATTACTCAGTAATAAAGGGATATCTCCCCCTCCCCAACATGCTAGGGCAAGCATCAGTACACACACACACACACACACACACACACACACACACACACACACACACACACACACACACCCAGCATCAGCTTCTCTGCAATAAACATGTTTGCCACTGGAAAAACCCTCTCAAGGGAGCCCCAGCCTCAAACTCCTGTCCTCTCTTACACTCAGATGTACTGCCCTTTCTTTTTTCCTGAGGGTGGAGATGCTGGATGTCACTGGCAAGTATGAAGTGGGGAGGCACCTTTGCTGGGATCCCAAGGAACCCCAGTATTTCCAAGGAGTACCTGAAAGGAGAGGCCGAGGGTTGGGAGGTGATTGGAAGACACAGTGACCTAGGATGATGACACAAGACAGGGAGCTAGGTCCTAGGGACCGTTCCATTCAAACATCCCCCAGCCTTGAAATACCATGGGGAGCAATGGGGAAGTCCTCACTCCCAACTGTTCCAACCTGGGACAGTGGCACATATCCTCACCCACACACTGCCTCCTAGACACTGGCTGTGATACAGCTGCCTGTTCTGAGGGAGGAATTTTGGCTGGTCAGATACAGGGTAGCAGCAACACACGATTAGGTCACGTCCCTGTCTTGCCTTCCACCTAGCCAAGTGGGGAAGAGGATAAGTCACAAAGCAGCAACGGAGGCTGGAGGTCACATATTAAACGGCGCAGAGAAAAACCTCACCCTAGACTGACCCTGAGGTCTGGGACGTCCCATCTCCCTGACACCTTCGTTTCCACTGAACTCTGGACAATCAGTCATTTGCATCCGAGGGACTTGGGAGCAGGGCCTTCCACCCTAATACGAGCTCGCTTACTACACCAATCACTGCCACCACTGATTCCCGCTCCTCACCCCCACCTCCTGTCGGTACTGGACAAAGGTAAAAATGGGGAGCAGAGATGGGACGGTGGAAAGAGACCTTCATTTAGTGTTTGGGCTGAATGGTGGATGGTTTTTTGGTCAGGGAGGGGGAATGTTACAGTACCTTCAGCCAATGTTATTGGGGGTGGCATGTATTGCATGATGGAATGGGGAAGGAAAAGTATGTATGAAATATGTGTGTGTGTGTGTGTGTGTGTGTGTGTGTGTGTGTGTGTGTGAGAGAGAGAGAGAGAGAGAGAGAGAGAGAGAGAGAGAGAGAGAGAGAGAGAGAGAGTGATTATTGCATTCTGGGAAGGAGCCACCTTCTCTGTCCGCCCCCCTCCCTCTGCACGCCCCCCTCCCCGCCCTGCCCCCTCTGGTGGGGAGGGGGGCCCAGCCTAGGTCTTGTGGGTGAATCGGGCCCACACCTGCTGTAGCTGGGACCTGGAGATTCGGAGCACCGAGGGCATAAGTCTGTGGTTGCCTGGCGCGAGGGGCGCGTGGCGCCGGTGGGGCGCTCGAACTGGGCTGCTCTCGGCCGAGCGGCTGCGCTGAATGAGGGAGCCAGAGCCGGGGCTGCCGGGGTGAGGGTAATGTTCCGTCTCCAGCGTGGAGGAGGAGAACACGGAGGACGCCAGTCGTCGTAGGGGGCTGTACCTCGGGAGGGAGTGCCCAGAGAGTCTGTCCTCCTCCAACTGAAAGAGACCAAGAAGAGTGGAGGGAAAAGAGGTGTCAGGCACAGACTCGACAGCTCCGTCTCGGGGGGCCAACATACCGCTCACAGCCCCCTAGACGCCGGCGTCCCAGGGAAGAAGGGGTGGAGACAGCTGGACCGGGACTCACTAACTAAAGCCTGCCTCCGAACCTTTGCTTGTGCTCGGAGCTCCCTCCCCGACCCCTCCCTCCCAGTCTACACTCCATCACCTCCTTCAGATGTGTATGACTAGCCCCTTCATCCTCTCTTAACTTCGCCTAAAGCACGAATCACACCGCTAACCACCTCCTCAGTTCCCAGACTCACCTCCTCCACGAAGCCTTCCCCGGTTAACCTCACCTGGCTTTCATTGTCCCTTTGCATGGAACCCCTTCAGTACTTATTTATTTAATATTTTATGGGCCTTTGTATTTCTCTCTTTTTTTTTTAGGCAATTGGGGTTAAGTGACTTGCCCAGGGTCACACAGCTAGTAAGTGTCAAGTGTTTGGTCTGAGGCCGGATTTGAACTCAGGTCCTCCTGACTTCAGGGCCGGTGCTCTATCCACTCCGCCACCTAGCTGCCCTGTAGTTCTCCATGTGTTGGTTTGCAATAATAAGAATAACCCACATTTCCATAGTGCTTTTACATTGTCAGTTTACCTCACAACAATCCTGGGAAGTAAGGAGTACAAATATAATTACCTGCATTGTATAGGTGGGAACTTGGGCCAAGGCTTAAAAGGTTTGTGACCCGGCCAGCGTCAAGCTAGTAAGTTGGTGGAACCCAGGTTTAAACTAAGGTCTATTGCCTTTCAAGATTAGTGTTTTCTTCACTTCTTCACTACCTCTCCTATCCTCTCCTCCTCTGTCTGTCTGTCTCTCTCTCTCTCTCTCTCTCTCTCTCTCTCTCTCTCTCTCTCTCTCTCTCTCTTTCTCTCCCCTTTCTCTCCCCCCTTTCTCTCTCTGTCTCTGTCTGTCTTTCCCCCCCTCTTCTCCCCCCCCCCCATTTCATCAGTGTAAGAAGCCCTCCGTGTTGTAGTTCTCCCTATCAGTTCCAATCAGCACCTGCTCTCCAAGTTACTGTCCTGGTGCCTAAGGCTCCAAGAAAGTAAATAACTTGCTTAAGGTCGCATAGCCTGTCAGGGGCATGGTCTTTCATACTCCCAAGTCGACTCTGTTAAATCATTCTTAAACTGTTCCATGTGTGGGGTTGTCTTCCTTCATAGACTGTACATTCCCCAAATTCAGGGACCAGGCACACCCTTATTTTGAATTCTGGTCCACCCAGAAAAGAATGCCAGTAAGGGTTTTGAACTCAATAAGTACAGTCCATGGTGCTGAATTCTGCCTGATTCACATACCCTAGAGAGGATAGGGAAGTGGATAGCTGTGCTTCCAGAAAGTGGGGGGAAAGGTGAAAGTGGGGCATTTTCCCACCAAATCAGCTGCTCCCATACTGTTCCCTGCTGACCAGGGAGCCAAGCCACTAGGCAGTGTCCTGTGGCTCAGACAGCTTTAGTTATCTCCCCTCATCCTGGGAAAAGTCAGGTAGGAGCTGCCTCCCACCCCCAACTCCACTGTCTTTAGAAGGGTGTCTGAGACTACCTGGTATGTATAAATGGCCAGTTTTAGCCACTTTGAACAGCTGACGCTTAATTCTCAATTCCCATCACTTAGTGTGCTGATTTAGAGCTGGAAGTGGGTCTTGGAAGTCTTCAGTGCAAAGGGGCTAACTTGCCTAGGGTCACACAGTAAATGTCTGAGGGAAGTTTTGAGTCTGGGTCTTCCTGACTCAAGTCTGGCTCTCTCCACAATACTAAGATGCCTTGGGGAAGGTTTAAACTGCTTTCAGCACACGGCTCTGGGGATATCCTCAACACAGTCTCAAAGCCCTCCCTGATTTCAGGCTTTGTTCCATCCCTTCCCCCACCTCCCCTGGGAAGGGACATTCTATCCTCTATCCACTCTTACCATAGCCCTGCCTGAATCCCGACATATGTCTCTTGATTCCCCAAAGGTTTCAGCACTTTGCCCCTCCCCTAGCTATTTCTCCTCTACTGAGCTTAGCACAGTGCCTGGTACATACTAAGCATTTAATAAATGTTGGTTGATTGATTGATTATTGATTAGTGACATCACACGTGACATCATCACTCCTCAATCTGTACACTTGAGAGAGTCCCACCCTTGGGAATTCCCACCCTATGACCAGGCACCAGAGATAGATACACGCTCCTACCACCTGAGGAGAGGTTGTCCTGCTCTATATAAACAGATCCTTCCCGACCTATTGTGACTGTGACCACAGCTAACAGTAGATGAGACTTGAACCCTGCCCCAGGGCCTAACTGATGACTTCGGGCCTGGCTCCTCACTCCTCACTCCCTGTCAGCCTCCTCTGAACGTTCCTACCCCTGCATACTCCTGTTGTTCACATGGTCTCTTCCTAAAGGCAGAAGTCTGACCCAGAATGCCTTCCTTTGAGCCATAGGGCACTTCACTGAGGGGTGCAACACTTGGCTCCAACCCCCTCTACCTCTCACAAAGAACACTCCTCCCCTTCCCACTTCCTGCCTCCATCACTTATCACCTTTGTCCCCCCTCCCCTGAAACCCTCAGAATGGAGCCTTGTTTCCAGGCTCTAATGGAAGGTATGGTTCATGTGTCCAAGGCCATAAGAAAGCACCAGGCAAGGGCAAGGCCATCTAGAATTTGATCTAGGATTTCTTCTGAGTGTTTTCTCTAATGGATCTGCTGAGAAAAGTTTAAGCTGCTCCCCACCCTGGGAATGGGATATACAGGGAGCATATCTCTCTTGCCTCAGCCTACTTTCTTTGGGTTGGGAACTGCAGGGAAAGGGTGACAAGGGGAGGCAAAGGGTTTGGTAGACAGGGATTGTAAGTTTCTTTCCTTCCTTCTCTTTGCAGTTCAGCTTGAGGAAATTGGAGGAAAATACACTTTAATGGGAGAAGGAAGGAGAGCCCCTAGATAGTACTAACCTTTCCTCAGTTAGTCAATTCAGGCTTGAGGGCCCATACCACCATTCCAGTTGGAAAATTCTACCTCAGATTTCACCTCCATCTTTATGGACACCCTGCTTCCCTCCTAGCAATGAAATATGAAGTCATGTCACTTTTCCAAGGAAGCTCAAAGACAGGCTTCCTTACCCCAGTCACACAGCTGCAATAAGAATGAAGATTTAGGTGTCCTGTTTCCCAGTGCTAGGCTACCTTCAGCTGTCCTGTGGGGAATATAGCACCAGGGAACCAAAAGGCCTAAGGGGAAGTGGGGCTAGGAATGAGCCAAAGTGAAGGTATAGGGAATGAAGTAAGGGCTTCTATAGAAAATGCCCAGAGGCATGTGCTGGGCAGGGAAGACATCATTCGTGAGGCTAAGTTCTTACTATAATCAACTCTCCATTTCCCATGTTGATGGGAGGGGGGAAGGGCAGTCTGCATAACAGGAGCAGTCTGTTCAACAGCAGAACAGAAAAAAAATCTATTATTGAATTTTGTTTTGTTTCCCCACAGAAGATTTTCTTTTATCTTTTTGTTTGACTCAGGCTGGATGTAGTATACTAATGGATCTGCAGTCTTTGCACCCACAAGGACTGACTGGGTTGATTTGGAGCTGGCCAGGGGTGAAGACCTCCCTGCTAACGATTCACAGGTGCATAACTTAGTGTTAGCTCTATTTGAATTTATATCCTCCAAAAAAAATCTAGACCATAAGGTCTTTAAGGACAGGCCCCATGCCTTACTCATCTTTTTATCTCCCAAATGCATACAGTAGACACTTACTTCAACATTTATTAAGCACTATAAAAAAGCTAAAATATAACACGTCAGCAGGATCACAGGATCTTAGATTTAGATACAGAGAGGACTATCTAGTCCAACCCGCTCATTTAAAACATGAAGTATTTTGACTAAATTCATACAGATAGGATCTCACACAAGATTCAGATTCAGGTCCTTGATGTGCCATAAAGGATGAAGGGGCTTACAGTGTAATGGGGAGGATAGATTATGAAGCCTCTCCATCAGATCAGTATATTGTAGATTTCCTCATGCCATGCTCTCAACAGGGACAGCTGAAGGTTATGAAGAGCCTAAGTATGTCTTCATACTCACGGTGCAAATTTGGGCAAAGGAAAGCTCTATAAAAAGTGCTCTAAGGAAATTTGAGGGAGACATCATTTTTTTTCTAGAAAGAATCAGGGAAGACTTCATGGATGAGGTGGTAACTAAGCTGGGCCTTGAAGGAAGATAGAGATTTTAATAGAGATAAAGAAGGGAATGAATTCTAGGCATGGAGGGCATGGGGTGGGTAGAGTGGTACACTCAAATATTTGCATGAATGAATGATATCAGAGAACATCTAGCAGTTTAGTCTAGCTGGAACATAGAGTGTATGAAAGGGAGTAATATGAGCAGCTAGGTGGTGCAATGGATAGGGTACCAGGCCGGAAGACAGAAAAACTCAACTTCATGAGTTCAAATCTGACGTTAGATAGTTGTTAGCTGTGTGACCCTATGCAAGTCACTTAACCCTATTTGCCTCAGTTTCCCCATTTGTAAAATGAGCCAGAGAAGGAAATGGCAAACCACTCCAATATCTTTGCCAAGAAAACCCCAAAAAAGGTGATGAAGAGTTGGACATAACTAAAAAACAACTAAATAACAATAACAAAAATGTGAAATATGATTAGAAAGATAGAATTCTCATAGAACTAAAGTTGCAAGGGACCTCAGATACTGTCTATTCATAGAATCCTAGATCTGGAGCTGCAAGGGGCCTTAGAGGCTATCTAAATAGATTCCGTCCTTTTATAGATGAAAAGACTAAAGACGAGAAAGGTTAAGTAACTTGCTCAACATCACACAGGTAATAAGCTGAAAATGACTGTTGAATGAATGAATGACCTACCACAAGAGCCCCTGAATAAAAGGCAGTAGGTATTTGGATGGCCCTCAAATGCTTCTGTGAGTTTCAGACTC